AGGGTTTCTGCAGTACATTCAGTGGAGGTCAGTGGAAGCTTACTAGAGGCGCCATGGTTGTTGCTCGTGGGACGAAGTCTTCGTCACTATACTTAATGCACGCTAAGCTTTCTAAGGATATCATTAATGCCTTAGAGAGTGACGATGCTATTGAGTTGTGGCACAGGAGACTTGGTCATATGAGTGAGAAAGGAATGTCTGTACTAGCGAAGAAGGAGGTTCTACAAGGAGTCTCGGGATTACATCTGAAGAAATGTGATCACTGTTTTGCGGGAAAACATAACAAAGTTGCGTTTAAGTCTTCTACACCTTCCAGAAAATCGGAGATTCTTGATTTGGTGCACTCGGATGTGTGTGGTCCATTGAAGACGAGATCAATGGGTGGTGCATCATATTTTGTCACATTCATCGATGATCATTCAAGGAAATTGTGGGCATATATGATGAGGACTAAGGATCAAGTTCTGGGCATTTTCAAGCAGTTTCAAGTCTTGGTGGAAAGACAGACTGGAAAGAAGTTGAAGTGTATCCGGAGCGACAATGGAGGTGAATACTCCGGACCGTTTGATGCATATTGTCGTGAACAAGGCATTAGACATGAGAAGACGCCGCCGAAGACACCACAGTTGAATGGGTTGGCAGAGAGGATGAACAGGACGATCATGGAGAGAGTTCGTTGTCTGATTTCTCAATCAGGCTTGCCGAATTCCTTTTGGGGAGAAGCTTTGAACACCGTGGTTCATGTATTGAACCTGTCACCTAGTGCTCCGTTACATGGTGATGTTCCAGAGAAGGTTTGGACTGGTAAGGATGTTTCTTACCGTCATTTGAAGGTTTTTGGGTGTAAAGCGTTTGTTCATATTCCTAAGGATGAGAGGTCGAAGCTGGATGCGCAATCAAGACAGTGCGTGTTCATCGGATACGGTCTGGATGAAATGGGATACAGATTCTATGATCCAGTTGAGAAGAAGCTCGTCAGAAGCAGAGACGCTGTGTTCATGGAGGATCAAACTATTCGGGATATTCAGAAGTGCAAAAATCCAACTCAGAATAGTAGTGGTTTGATCGACTCAGAGATGATTCCTCGAACGACAGTTGAGGATTCTACTGAAGGTGAGGTTCAAGATGATACACCTGGTACAGATGCTCCCGTACAGATTGATGACGGTGATGGTGAAGATCATCAGGTTGAGTCGTCAACTACCGAAGACTCACAGATGTTGAGAAGGTCTGAGAGAGTTCGGAGACCATCAACGAAGTATAACTCCAGTGAGTATGTATTACTTACTGAAGGGGGAGAACCAGAGAGTTTGATGAGGCTCTCGGAGATGAACACAAGGACGAATGGATGAAGGCCATGAATGACGAGATGGATTCTTTGTACAAGAATCAAACATTCGAGTTGGTGAAGCTACCAAAGGGTAAACGAGCATTGCTTAACAAATGGGTGTTCAGGGTTAAGCATGAAGAGCACAGTCTGCATCCGCGATACAAGGCTAGACTGGTGGTAAAAGGTTTCAGTTAGAAGAAATGAGTTGATTTTGATGAGATTTTTTCGCCGGTTGTAAAGATGTCATCCATACGGGTTGTTTTGGGATTGGCAGCTAGTCTTGACTTGGAGGTTGAGCAAATGGATGTGAAGACGGCTTTCCTTCATGGTGATTTGAAGGAAGAGATTTACATGGTACAACCTGAAGGCTTTGTTGAGAAGGGCAAATAAGATTATGTTTGTCGGTTGAAGAAAAGTCTTTACGGGTTGAAGCAAGCACCGAGACAATGGTATAAGAAGTTTGAGTCAGTTATGGGGGATCATGGCTATAAGAAGACGACTTCCGATCATTGTGTTTGTGCAGAAGTTTTCCGATGTTGATTTTATCATCTTGCTGCTCTACGTGGACGATATGTTGATTGTGGGCAAGAACATGGAGAGGATAACAGAGTTGAAGAAGCAACTTGGTCGGTTCTTTGCTATGAAGGATTTGGGACAAGCGAAGCAGATTCTTGGGATAAGAATTGTTCGGGACAGAAGTAACAAGGAGTTATATCTGTCACAGGAGAAGTACATTGAGAAAGTACTTCAACGGTTTCATATGGAGAAATCTAAAGTTGTGAGCTCACCTCTTGCATCACACTTTAGATTGAGCAGTCAGCAGAGTCCGAGTACAGATTCAGAGACGGAGGACATGAGACGAGTTCCATACGCCTCTGCAGTGGGGAGTTTGATGTATGCCATGGTTTGTACGAGACCAGATATTGCTCACACTGTTGGAATTGTCAGTCGGTTTCTTTCTAATCCAGGAAGGGAACATTGGAATGCAGTGAAGTGGATTCTGAGATATCTTCGAGGTACTTCCGGTTTCAGACTTATGTTTGGAGGTGACAAACCTTTGTTGGTTGGCTACACAGATTCAGATATGGCGGGAGATACAGATTCTCGGAAATCTACTTCGGATTACTTGGTAACTTTTGCGGGTGGAGCAGTATCATGGCAATCGAAGTTACAGAAATGCGTTGCACTTTCTACCACTGAAGCTGAGTTCATTGCCGCAACTGAAGCTTGTAAGGAGTTGTTATGGATGAAGAGGTTTCTTGAGCAGCTCGGTTTCAAACGAGATAGGTATATCTTGTTTTGCAACAGTCAGAGCGCTATTCATCTTGGGAAGAATCAGACGTTTCATTCAAGATCGAAGCACATTGATGTTAGATATCATTGGATACGAGATGTCGTGGATTCGAAGGAGGTTGAACTTGAAAAAGTTCACACAGATGATAATGGTGCAGACATGATGACAAAGGCGTTACCGAGAGGAAAGTTGGACGTTTGTTGCAGGATTGCCGGGATGGCAATCTCTTCCACATAGTCGGAAGAGGGGGAGAATTGTTGGGTCTTCCTCCATATGTATGAGTTGTTCCATGTGGGTGAGTTGTTCTACACCTTGCAAGAACATGGGTGGGGGAGGAAGATGAGTTGTTTGCACAATAGAGCAAATGATGATGTTTTTCATCTTTGTTTATGAATTCTTTTAGAGTTTCTCTTCACTATAAATAGAGAGCTCTAGGTGCAGAGAAAAATCATCCCAAACACAAGAGTTCCAAGCAAGAGAAGAAGAAAGAGAGAGAGAGAGGGAGAAAGAGTGAAGAAAACAGTTTGTGCAGTTATGATCAAAGGTTCGATCGGATACTCATTTCTTGTCCGATCGATCTGAATTTTGGAGAAGAGCTTCTAAACTCATTGTTCTAGATTTTGTCCGGTGGGATTTTGATTCTAACGGTCAGAATCTGAGAAACGGAGTTTCTACCGAAGCTGTTCGTCATTGGCGTTTCCAGCAGCACATGTCCAAGTGATTTGGAGATTTGGATGGTCATCTCTTCTCCGTTTGAGCTGAAATTCGGTATGCTTATTCTAGACCCTCTGAGCTTTTGATTTCTACGGAGAAATTGGAATTTGGTTGCCGGAACCATAAGTTACGGGGTTAGCTTGCTGCCTAAGTTACAGCTTGTTCTTTCGGGTTTATTGAGATTGAATATTGGATTAATATTCGGAAGTCTCGGTTGTATCTCTTGTCTATTGGAGATTGAAGTGTGGACGTTGTAACCCGGAAATTTGAGATTATAGTGGATTTTTGGGTGGACTACGGTCCCGTGGTTTTTACTCCTCACACCGAAGAGGTTTTCCACGTTAAATCGATTGTCTCGTTTAAATTTCCGTTTTTACTAGATATTGTCATCCTAACGCGCTCACACAAGTAAGGGGTTCTAATTTACCGAATCGTGATTCACGGTAAAAACCCCAACATTTTTGTACACATAAGGTTGATTCTGCGACCTCCAACGACTATTTCATCGGCGTGAAATCAATCATGGTAGACGGGAAAACATTTCCTTTCAAGCTACCAAAGGGTAAACGAGCATTGCTTAACAAATGGGTGTTCAGGGTTAAGCATGAAGAGCACAGTCTGCATCCGCGATACAAGGCTAGACTGGTGGTAAAAGGTTTCAGTCAGAAGAAAGGAGTTGATTTTGATGAGATTTTTTCGCCGGTTGTAAAGATGTCATCCATACGGGTTGTTCTGGGATTGGCATCTAGTCTTGACTTGGAGGTTGAGCAAATTTCTTCATCAGCGTTAGCTCGATATCCGTTGACGGAGACGTGATTGCGGTTAACGGAGGGACAAAAATCAGTACGGTGACTCCGTACACCGTACTTCACTCTGAGAAGAGCGTAAGGAGGGGAATCACCGGCCCGGACGTGCCCGTGATCGATCTGGTGCTGCAGGGCGGCGGGATCTGGCGGATCTACGGATCGAACTCCATGGTGGATTACGACGGAAACAGGACGTGTTTGGCGGTCGTTGACGCAGGTGATGAACTGGCTCGGGCGGGGATCGTGATCGGATCGCGTGTTCTGGAGGAAACCCTCGTGGAGTTCGATCTTGAATCCTCCAAGTTCAGCGTCACTTCTTCACTTCTCCCTCGCAACACTTCCTGTTCTCGTTTCAGGACAGCTTCAGCTTGATTGATATATATTCCTATGTTGTCCCCTTCACATTATAATTTACAACCACATCATCAAGTGTTGTTACCTGCGCTTAAAAGTTAAGATTAGTTACAATTTTGGTTTATTATTATTATATATATAGATATATGAACATTGAATTTAAAATTTATAAATCTCTAAATTTAATTTATTAAATACAATGTAAAAATTAATATAAATAATCATATTCTAAAATAATACAAGTGTGCGAAAATAATAAAAATATATTCATTATTTAGTGACTTAAATAACATATTTTTTTAGTTTTATTTAAAACATAAGTATCAATTAGATTTTCTTAGTTAACTTTTGAAAAAACTTTTTTCTATAATGCTAGTCCATTGAATCTTTATGGGACAAAAGAATTTGATAAATGTTTTAAATTAATTCAAATACAAAATCGATGTAACAAATAAATCGATTTTTTTATAAGATCGATAACAAATTGGTAAGACTAATCAATTCTAAAAAACATAATGATAATGATTTTTTTTTTTAATTTGTCGGGTGCAAGCATTTTCACCGTCACCGTTACCGTACCTTTAAACTGGTATCGTGGAATTCTTATATGCCGTTTTGGTTTTAATGAATTTGGGATTATTATAAATCGGGATTCAAACTGTTTCTTCCATTTAGTAGAAATTCACATTCTGTCAACTAGATTATCATATCTTCCACACTTTATTTTTCATAATTTATCTTTGGTAGTTTTAATGCATAGTATATTATATATATATATATATATCATAATTGGACTATCTTAAAATGTAACAACTTTATTACTTAGAAAAGAACCCAACAGCATAAGACAAACCAATCAAGCTGTCCTGAAACGAGAACATGATGTGTTGTGAAGGAGAAGTGAAGAAGTGGCACTGAACTTGGACGATTCAAGATCGAACTCGACCAGCGTATCCTCCAGCGCGAGTGATCCAATCACGATCCCGGCTCGAGCTTCTTTCCCCGCGTCAAGAATCCCCAGACACGTCCTGTTCCCGTCGTAGTCCACCATGGAATTCGATCCGTAGATCCTCCAATTCCTGCCGCTTTCCAACACCAGATCGATTACGGGCACGTCCGGTCCGGCGATTCCCCGTCTCACGCTCTTC